ATTCTAACTAATAGTCCAAAAACAAGCTAACTCAATCTATTGGGTACCAGCCTCGCGTCAGGTGTGCTCCGGATTGTCCACCTGCCGCCCGAACAAGCCGCTATCTGGCTTTCCTATCGCGAAATTGACAACCTGAATCCCACAATGACAATCACAGCGGTTCCCGTTTCTCATTTCACGTTGGCTTCCCTTTTTGTCACGGCGTCACGGCTTCACCAGCAAGTTCGGCCAAACCTCAGGCAGCTTCGCAGCTCTTCTGCCGGTGAATCTGCAGAATCGAAGACGTTGTCCAAACAAACAATCATGGCTCACCTAATGCGATAATTCCCCCGCCCACCACCATTATTACACCACCAATGACACAGCGTTCGCACACATGCGCATTACCACGCAAACACGCTTTCCACCGATGCCTCGCCCAACCGCAAAGCGCAATGGAATCACAGACGTATTTTTGCAACCCCGTGTACCACCTATACTATGCTGGACGCAACAGGCGATAGCGGCAGACTGACGCAAAGACATCGTAAATGAAATGTTGCCACGCCGCGCAGCATGAGTAAAGGACTGTCATCATGCTGCAAGCCATGCTGCTCAACCCACGAGGGCTGTCAAGCCAAACGCAAAGTTTGGTCCAAACATGCCGAAGACTGAACTGATGTGCCCTCAACTGGGTCAAAAAGATCTGCTCCTATGCTTTGCTTGTCGACTGCGCGCGCAGCCAAAACTCATCAACTGGCGCCCATATGGGCCGTCCATGTCAAGCCCATGAAATTCTGGTCTCAATCCCGTCCAAGACGTATGGTCGCATTCTTAGACGCTCTTGTATCCAAGCTGTGCTTCCCGAAGTGTAGGGCCATGGTTCCGCTTTCTGCTCGTCGCCCAACAACCTTGCAGCGGCGTCTGAACTCAAAACGCCCATCAACAGTTCTTGCCGCTTCACGGGCGATTAGGAAACGATTGCGTCCAACAGTCTGCTGAGGTTGCCTTAGCGTCATCGAGTGGCTCGAGCTGGCAAGATGGCTCCAGGCCAGGACCAGGCTCGACATCCATGTCGCTACATGATGGTGGCTGTGTACACTTTTCCAGTGGATGGAGCAGGTCGACCACTTGCTGAACTTGATCAAGGACCACTTCTTGAAGGTCATGTTGACCATGAACTGCCACCGTTTGATGATCTGCAGTACCAGCAGCCGGATTTGAGCGCTGAGGATCCTGGAGCTGAGCTGTTGGTTGAAGAGCCAGTGGTGGAAGCGGAGGTTGCGGGGGAGGACACGGCGGTGCGCACATGCAAAGCATCGTGCGAGACCTGGCACAAGTTGGTGGAGGATTCAACGGATGTGACGGTCCGCAACCTGACATTTGTGGAGGTGCTTCATGGCCGAGCGGTCAGTCACATCTTGCCGGCTTTGGCTCGTATCTATGCTCGCTTGAGAAGCCTGGGGCTTCCTCTATATCGGGTACATTGTGACCGTGCTCGGGAGCTGATCTCTGCCCCGGTTCGTCGATGGACCTTGGACCGTGGCATTTTGACCACGCTCGCAACAGGTGACTCGTACAAGAGCAATGGGAGAGTGGAGGGGGAACTTGGCGTGGTGAAGAAACATGTTCGCACCTTGGTCGCTTCCACGGGCTTGGGCTTGGACATATGGCCGTTGGCGGCAATCCACATCGGGGAGAGGCGGTTGCGAGGCCAACTCCGAGGGCTGGGGTTCCCATCTGGTCCAATGTTGAAGTTTGGGGCAAGAGCTTATGCTTTGAAAAAGTCCTGGCAGGACAGGTACCAGTGTTGGCGGGAGATTCGTGACGAGGTGATCGTTTTGGGTCCGGCCACGCAGTCTTCTTTGACCACAACCAGCTACTATGTCCAATCCCTGGACACCAAGAAGTACTTCTACACGGACGACGTGGTTGCGCCAAATGAAGATCAACCTGAGTGAAGAGGTCACGGTGCATCTCCCAATGGCCGATGCTGCCCCTCGCCCAGTGTGGGAAGAGGGGGTACCTCGTCGTCGACTGCGGGAAAAAACAGCTCCACCGCAGTTGTCCATGTTCCACATGGAGGGGGAGAATTGCCGATGGGTACAAACCTGGCTCAGTGCACACCATGAACAGTTTGATGGTCTTGGACCTACTGACCATACCCTTCGCAGCTTAGAGGTGAGCAGCGACAGCTGGACGTTGGAGACTCCTGACCGAACATCGTCTAGTGGAGGTGACTCTCAGGAAGGACATCTGGAGGCGAGGATGTGGAGGGGGGCGCCTAACAACCAGGACGGTGGCTCAAGCCTGGTGGCCCCGATGATGCACGCAAGTCCTGAGAGGTTGCCTCCACGAAAGATTCAATGCCTCCGATCGCTGCAGGCAAATCTGGCGAAGTATGTCGCTGAGGAGATGGCACATGTGGACGTGACAAACCCAGAGCAAGGTTGCTACATGGAGGCGCTTACCACGGCCATCCTGAACAAGAGTGAAGTCGAAGAGATAACAACCATGACGCGGAGGTGATTCAGAACCAAGAACTGGAAGAAGAGTTTCTGGTGACTCGAACGATCAGTAGCAAGGAAGTTTGGGACGACTTCACGAACTGGATCCCATCCATGGAAGCGGAATACAACCAGCTGGTGCGCACCAAGGAGGCGGTCACAAAAAAGGAGCTGCATAAAAGGGCAGAAGCAGAGGGCAAGGTCATTGAATTGCTCCCGGCAAAGATGGTGTACACCAGAAAAGCAGGTTCTGGAGTTCGAAGAGCCAGAGCAGTCTGCTGCGGGAACTATTCAGAGTGCTGGTGGTGCAGACGGATGCCAAGCCCTTCGGTCATGGACCATAGCAGCCACGGACATCCGTGTGGCATTTCTCAACGCCCCGAGGCGGGAAGATGGGAAGCTTGTGGCTATGGAGATTCCAGCCGTCTACAGAAGGCTTGGTCTCGCAAAGGAGGGAGATGTTTGGTTGGTCAAGCTTGCAATGTACGGCCTCACCACGTCCCCGCGAGACTGGTCGCAGTACCGCGACGTGACACTGCCATCAATCAGCTGGGCGCGCATAAGAGGGGATCAAAAGGTCCGTGGGAATTTCCACAAGACCGCGGATGAGAACTTGCGGCGCCTGGAGGAGGTGGATCTGGAGACGGGGAAGCAGCATTGGACAGGTCTGATGTCAGTCTACGTGGACGACATCCTGCTAACTGGAGAGGAGGATACGCTGGCAGCGGCGCTCACTTCATTTCAGGCCACCTGGACTACATCGAGTGTGGAATGGGCATCCTCCAAAGATCCAGTGCACTTCTGCGGCTTTGAAATCAGGGCTGATGAAAATGGTGATGGGTTCCACCTCGCCCAGCAGAAGTATATGAGCAGGAGATCCTGGCCAGGTGGAAAGTGAAAGAGGCCACAACCTATCCCCACTTCAAGATCATGGAAGAGGACGCGGAAGAAAAAGGGAGGTGGACAAGAAGCAAATCAGAGAGGCACAGGCTCTAGCGGGTTCGCTTTTGTGGCTATCAACACGGTCGAGACCTGACCTAGCATTTGGGGTAGCTGCCATCAGCCGCTTGGTGACAAGAAATCCAAGGAAAGCAATAGAGATTGCACATGTGCTCCTCACCTATGTCAAGGGGAACCCTGGTGATCTTCACTACACTGGGGCGCTGCACAACATGTGGGGGGTCCGCGGACAGTTGAAGATTCCGCGACACAGCAAGTTGATAGAGGTCTTTGCGGACATCGCCTATGGCACGGGCTCAGGCCATCGAAGTGTTCAGGGCTTGGCAGTTTACTTTGCAGGGGCTCCCATCGCATGGCAGAGCTCCTCACAACCCTTCGTCACACACAGCACGGCAGAAGCTGAACTGGTGTCCTATTGTGAGGCTTTGACAGTTGGCCGTGCCACCGAAGCACTCTTGCGCGCTATGTGGGGGGAGGAGTTGTCCAATGCAAATTCCTTCGAGCAGGTCATCTATGGGGACAACGCAGCAGCCATTAGTTTGGCCTATGGCAACAGCAGCACATCCTGGAGGACACGCCACTTGAGAGTTCGCTCCAACATCCTCAAGGAGGCATTGGACACGAAGAGCAGCTATCCAGGTGGACGTTGGCAATTGAGCCATCTTTGCGGCACAGAACTTGTGGCCGACGGTTTGACAAAGCCTCTTCTGGGCCAGAGCTTTGTGGAGTTCATCAAGGACCTGGGCTTGAAGGAGGCGGACATCAAGATGAAGAAAGTGAAGGAGAACGTTCATGGCCTTCCATCACAAGGCCAACAAACGGCGTTGAAAGCAATGGTCGCCGGTGGCACGTTGGTTCGGGCAGCTGAAGCTCAAGGAGAACCCGAAGGTGATCCAACGCTGGGTAACCTATGGCTCTGTGGCCTGATACTGGTCGTGATTGGGGCAATCTGGGTTGGGAAGGCAGCCATGCAGACCTTGGGCTGCTGCCTCCGTCGATTGCAGTTGACGACTGGCCAGTTCCAGAGCATGGGCGACGATGCAGGGGATCCTCAACCAACATCCTTGCGGAGGGGCAGGGCAAGGCCACGGGGGCGATGGACTCTTTGGTCGGAGGAGGAGAATACAACCACATCGGAGGAAACTGCGACGGAGGAAACAGAGGCGGAGGAAGAGGCCGAGATGGCCCGAGAGAGCAAGGTGAGAAGAAGGAAGGCAATGGCTCGTGCTGGTGATCACGATCAAGAAGTTGATCGTCAAGGGGACAGCAGGGGCACCACTACATCGAGAAAGAGCTCTTTGTCACGGCAAGCCCGGCCGCACTCGGGCTCTACAAGCGGATTTAGACGCCACGACGAAAGACTCCAACAACCGCTACAAGTTCGGCCGATGGTGGGATGATGCTAGCGGCTAACAATGCCGCAGATGATGCTGAGAGGGCAGCAGAATGGGCAAAGCAAGCAGCTGATGCAGCGGGGCGAGCGGCGGGCAAGGCAGAAGCCGCTGTGGTCATGGTGCACAAAGTGGTCGCATCGACCCAAAGTTCAAGGGCAAGTGCAGCGGCTGAGAGTTCGGCCCCGGCTGACAAGGAGCCCGGGAATCCCTGGAACAAGTTCCAGAAGGACCATGCCGGAAAAGGCTGGTCAATGGACCGCCTAAGGGCGGAATACTATCGGCAGAAGTGCCATAGAAAGTAGATGCCTTGAGCCCGGCACTTCTTCGAGTGTTTTTCCCCACAGTTCATCGAAGGATGAAGGGGGAGTCTGTCGCATTGGTGAGACCACCATACATGAAAGGCATTTTGTGCTCAAGAAAAGGAGCGTACTGTTTCGAACAGGAATGCAACGGTTGGAGCACAGCGTACCTTTTTCGTCTCTGGTTTGACCCAGTCTGCTCACTCAAAACAAAATTCACAAGGGAAGCATATAACACCATGCTCATTTGGAAGGAACCATACGAAACACTGAACACGTAAAGGCGTTGCGCCTTTCTCTAAGATCGGCGCAAGAGGCCTTTTTGAAGACACAGGGGCGCCAACTTGTCGCCAGCCTGCGTGGGAAATCCTTCACACAAAGAACACATGATGCAAAAAGGCTCGGACTTCTCACTGAAACGGTTCCGAAACTTCCTTGGAGAGCCGTTTGCGCGGACACGTTCATTCATATTTTAAAGGGACATTGAACTCAAACCCTTGTTTTCCTGCGTTTGTGTTCTTTCCTCTTGTTCTTCTTTCTTTTCTTGCAGGAAGTCTTCACCGCCCTGAAGTACTGTGGGAAAAATTGGCCTATTCTTGCAAACACCCGCGCCTGATGTAACGAACGTTTTGAGCAGCCAACGGTCCGAGCCGTCCTCTAAACAATCGAAGAGGGGCGGAACAAACACAAGCGAAGCGACTGTGCTTTAGCCAGTCTCCCTACATGTTACGTCTGTCCAAGCCTTCCAACACAGGAAGTGCAACATGTGAGGATGGGCGAGAAAGGCACAACAAAAACCTAGACTTCAGGCTACAATGTAAGGAGCTGGTACTAGTAGCTTCTTGCTCCTAGTAGTAATGGCCTCCAACCTGGCCTCCACCTAGTAGCTTCTTGCTACTTATACAACAGCTGCATTCAACACAGCACTTTAACTTCATGGCTTTGTTTCAGTAAGGTCCGACCCGTCCAGTTGTGGTTCGAAGGCCGTTCGCCCATGGTTGCAGCGAGCATTGTTGATCAGGAGCGCATCACCAGCCTGCGAGCTGAACACAACGCAGAGGAATTCAGCCTCTAATGTTTGCTTCTGATTTTGTTGTTTGGGCTGCACATGTTTGACCATATATTTCTTTTGCTGCACATGTTTCAACTGCATGCAAAACTTGTTGCTGCCTGCAAATCCACCTTGTCCGCGAGATCTGTGGCCATGTTCAAAGCGTGTTGATAAGCAGCCTGACGTCCAGCTTGCTTCTCAAGTCCCGAGAACGGTGTACCTAAGGGGTCTTTTTGCAATATCCCTGGATGCAACTTCCCTTTGTTACTAGTAGCTTCTTGTTACTAGTAGCGATAGCCTCCAACCTACTTGCGATGGCATCCACCTAATAGCGTCCTTGCTACTAGAAAAATCACACATTTGTAATAAGAACAAGTGAACCTGCAAACTTCCATCTGCAAGTCGTCCAAACATCAAACGTCTGTGGAAGAAGGGGTGGTGGCTTTGCCTCACCAGAAGTTCCTGCTGGTTTTCCTTGCGCTGGACTTCCTCCAAGACGTTGTGGTTCTGCCAGTTGCATTTGTACGTTGTCTATCTTGGTTGCTGGCCCAAACCACGCTTTGGCAACTCATTCTAGTGGGAGAGTTGTAGAGAATGATGGGGTACAGGTTCAGAGGTTGTACACTCCAACAATTTCCAACAGATTCTAGTACCCCGCCTAATGGCATTGCTATGCGAAACCTCTTTGATACGTTTGCAGGAGACCTGGATCCCTTGGAAAAGGGCCACAGTGGTTCGGGCGAAATCAGCACCCGTCTGCCCAGATGAGTGCGAGGTCCGGAAAAGCTCAGCCCGTCAGAGCGTAGCAAATCCATAGCGTCCTCTTGTTCCTAGTAGTAATGCCAGGAGCGCCCCTCGTAGCGTCCTTGCTCCTAATAGCGATGCCCTTTGTTCCTAGCAGCTTCTTGTTACTAGTAGTAAGGCCAGGAACAATCATGTCAAGGCCAGGAAGGAGTTCCAGGCCACCAAGGAACCAGCTTTGACGCCAGAGTTCTTGAGAGCAAATTTTAAAAGTCTGATGTTTTTTGTGTTCCCAGCATTTTGAAGCGCTCGGGTCGCAATTTTCTAAAGAAAGATATGCTTTTGATTGTTGTGGGGGGTATGTTCGGTTCTTTCAGTCTCGATGATGTAGGTATCCTGTCACATCCTGTCTATGTAGTGCTTGGCTCGTCATTGTTTGTGTTCCATTTTTTCCCAGCGATGCGATTCTTGACCAATCACTAGAAGATGACATGGCCAAGCTTGTAGCCCCTTCAGGTACCATTTTCTAGGGGAAGTTGTTTTATATGTCTGAACACGTGTTCTGTTTTATATTTCTACTATTAGAGTTTCTGTTGTTCATAACCGTTTGACTCAGCTTCGAATGCCGAGGCTGCGGTTGGGCCCAGAAAAGCCAGACAGATTCGATTCACATCCTGTGTGCGGACCTCTTGACGGTTTGCCAAAAACGCAAATGCACAGGCCACTGTTTGCCTCATCTCAACACCCCTCTCTCGCAACATTGTCGGTGTGCATAGCTCAAAAATAGAAGGCAGGTGAACAGACAAAGATAGATTGATTTGACAGATTGGTTGGTCCACACCGCGGCGCCGCTGCGTGTCGCCTTGCGACCACTCATGAACCGTTCGCATGACAGATTGGTTGGTTGGTTAATCTGATTGAATCGGCACTCTTTTGCTCATCCTCTCTGGGGCCTTTGCTGGGCGACAATCCATTAAATTTGGACACCTTCTTGCCCGAAAGCGTTTTCCCTTCCTGCGCCATGTTGGCTGCATGGTCACCCTCTGCACTCCAAGCTGTGTGGTTTGGTGTATAAATTCTACAAATTTAGAAGTGCATATTACTTTCGCAATGTCTTGAGATCGTCGCGGTTGATTGCTTTTTGCTTTTGTGGCTTTGGCTGCTGCCACTTGATGTGGTGATGTGGCATGAAATGCTTCTAACGAAAGGCAAAAGAGAAGAAGAAAACAAGAAGACCAAGGTAAGGATCCGCCTAAAAAGGCTCCGTAAAGGGGCCCCACAGGAGCCCTTACCTTCCGTCTTCATTTTCTTGTTTGTGCGGTGGTATATTCTGCATTCCACGCGAGGCAGTCCTCTGTCTCCGCATCATCGCTGACAATGCGGTAGGAAAAGTCCTTGCAAGTATTGTGGGTTCATGCGTAGCAAGAGGGGTAGAGGACGCTACTAGGGGCTCTTGGCCTTACTACTAGGAACAAGGACGCTACTAGGAGCTACTAGGAGGACAACCTGAAGGAGATACCATCCATTGCTCGATCAATCAACTTCCTGGTGATCTGGAATGTAGAAGAAGGTGACTCTGGGATCTTCCTCACACCAGCACAGGGACGCAACGTCGGACATACAAATTTACATGAACCCAGACTGCTATTAGGTTGGAGGTCATCGCAAGTAGGTTGGACGCCTCAGACCCTGCTATTGCATAGAACGGCTTGCCATACGGAGAGAGGCTGTCCGTCCTGCAGGCATATTTCAGCCGCTGTCCAGAAGTAAAAAAAACAAATGGAGGTGAGAGCTTCTTTAATAAAGTCTTCTTTAAAGAGGCCTTTACCTCTTCTCCTGCATTCGTTAACTGTTGCAAACAAGCAGAACACACAACCAAAGAGAATCTTCGTTGTGTTCTGGCCTGACGCATTGGGTTTGTACTGGGCTACGTCGCAATGCCCGAACTTGCCAGGGCTCTAAGCAGGCCACGAGGTGCTGCGAGCTGCAAATCCGCGTCAGCGCACCATGCTGAGCCAGGCATCGGAATTAAACAAAACAAAGACCTCCAACCTAATAGCGTCCTTGCTCCTAGTAGCTATGCCAGGAGCCCCTAGTAGCGAACATTGCTCCTAGTAGTAAGGCCAGGAGCCCCTAGTAGCGTTCTTGTTACTAGTAGCGATGACCTCCAACCTAAGAGATATTTTGAGTTTGGCAAAGAACTTAATTAACAGAAAAACAGTGACGCGCAACGAACTTGACAGGAAAAATGACGCACACCTCAGACCTGCAAACAGGAACACTTGCGTAACACATTGCGTGCAGGAGTGTCCCAATGGCTTGTTCATGGTCGTTTTATCAAAATGCCACAACCAGCTCAGAACTTGGCACGGAAGATGCTCCTAGTAGCGTCCTTGTTCCTAGTAGCGATGCCCTTGTTGCTAGTAGCGTCCTCTACCCCTTTAGTTGCAACATGCTTTCACAAAAGAATGCATAATGCGACCAAAATGACGAAACCCAGGTCCCGCACCTGAGGATCTCCACGCAAAGCCAATAGAATAAAACCCTCAGGTTCGTTCGCTGCCCCTGAGACACACCTCATGGATCAACAAAGACTCTACCAGTCAGACTACCAGTGGACGTGTTCAAAGCATGTTGTTGAAGGCTCATATTTGCCATTTGGAAGTGCAGAGAGAAGTGTCAAATCTTGTTGCGGTTTCTATGCTGGGCTGCATTCAAATGTTGTGTTCCAAGTATGTGACCCGCCCCACCCCTAGGGCCTTTGCCCATTATCACAAGTTCGCCTGAGTCAAACCTGACTTGCAATCGTTTAGGAAAAACACAACCTCATCGCCTAGCCCCTTCAAATCTATCACCTTCAGCGTGCGTGCATCATCATGCTGTTTCACCTACCCATCACCTTCAACGGTTTCTGTGCTGTGCGTTTTCTATCTTAATACATGCGACCGGTGTGGATTTGAGCAAAGCGCAGCCCTCTCAAATATGTGAAAGCGGAGTACGGGCTTGCCCCACCAATGGTTCGTGCAGTGCAGCAAATGAAGCGCTTTGTTCTCGTGGCGAAGGTAATCTTGGACGTGTAGCAAGTGCAGTGCCGGAATTGCAGTGTCTAGTAGATTGGAGACCATCGCTATTAGGAGCAAGGGCATCGCTACTAATAGCTCCTGGCATCGCTACTAGTAATAAGAAGCTACTAGGAACAAAGGGCATCGCTACTAGGAGCAAGGAAGCTAGTAGATTGGAGGCCATCGCTTCCTGGGATCATTTGGGAAGACATCCCTGGACTTCTCGATAAAACCGACAGGTTCTCTTTGCGTTTCCTTTCAGGCATCGTATTGCATCGTGGTGGTCGAGAGGCACCAAATGGGAAAAAGGTTTGGCGCCTGGCGCACTCCCTTAAAATGGCGCAAAGAACTTCACACTCTGCAGACTGATCTGACTGGGACTTTGTACCGCGCGAAGTGTGGCAACCCGGCAAACCTGTGTTGGTGAAGTTCAACCATTCTGACAATATGAAACAATATCAAAATAGCCCGGACCAATCGTTCAACACAAGCTAAGCTCCAAAGTGGTGCGACAGAAGCTGCCTCAAGGACGCAAGTGCTGGGGACAATTGCAACCTGTTCGGTAAGAGGTGTTTGATGGCGTTCCGGTTTGGTATATCAGAAGCGTCCAACCCCAAAATGGCCATACGTTCTCAGCTCGTGTCTATGTGGCACACCTTTACAGTTTGGAGGGCTTGCGCCATTTGAGAGAGCAAGTTCGGGCGGTGTGGTGTAGCGAGTTCCCGCAAGCGCCCTGGCCGCATCTGCTTGGGCTCCATGGAAACGAACCCGCTCCGTTCGCCTTCGCCCCACAGATCCCACATGATCGTGACCTGAAAACCCACCAGCGATCGCCACTTGAGCTCGGGGGGAGTGTCGCGGTTATGAAAAAAATAAAAGCTTCTTGTTACTACTAGTAAGGCACCTGTTACTACTAGCGTGGCACTTGTTACTAGTAGTAACAAGAAGCTATGCACATTGGATCGAACCTGTGCAGCACCGCAAGCTATTTCAGACCCGACGAGGCTCTGCTTAGGAGCCAAGGGCGCTACTAGGGGCTCCTGGCCTTACTAGGAACAAGGAAGCTACTAGGAACAAGTGCATCGCTACTAGTAACAAGTGCCTTACTAGTAGTAACAAGAAGCTATTAGAAACAAGAATTAAAAGTAATTAGAATTAACGTAACTTACTTTAAATTAGACTCAAATTAAATTAGAATTAAACAAGGACGCGACTAACAAAAGGCTTCTTTCAGCCTTGTGTCGAGATACATTGGCAGAATCGCCAATTTACGCTGAGAGCTCTGCACTGGCTCTCCGTCTGCCGCGCTATTGGTGACACATTTGCGAGGATCTTCGGAAACATTGACAAGCGGTGACTTGTAGAGAAGTAATATGAAGCGTCCCTCAAACACATCAGCTTTGCTCGGCTCATCGGTTGGTCAACTTGTTGGTAAATGTTTGCGAGGTAGCAGACTCGACCGGCCTACGGTGCAAACAGTTCAGATTGTTGTCCGCTGCGAGAAATCACAGGTATCTGATCGTTCTTCCACAAATACCCCATCAGTTTGGCCACTTATCTACTCGGAGTGCATTCGTTCCCTGGTAGGGGTATTTGACATGCTTGGGGGTATGTTTGGGGGCATGCTTTAACATCCCAACTCAGCCACGTAAAAAAATACTAAATCAACACCAGTACACGGCGCATATCAAACTATATAAGGAGTTGCAAAAAATCAGTGCAAAACGCCGTACATCGTGGCAGTTCAGCCAAAATTAGCCGAAAACCTGAAGGAATACCGCCGGACTGGGTACTAGGTAGCAGGCGGCATTCAAACATCAGCGCAACCGGCCCCAAACAGGCCTCCAACCTACTAGCGATGGTCTCCACCTAATAGCATCCTTTTTGTAGCACACGCCACACGAAACATGTCTGCGTTGAGGAACAGACGCAGGGACATCGCGATGCAAGCCTCACAAACGTTGCGAACCAAAACGCAAATTCAAAAAACGTGGAAGAAAAGATTGATACTAGGAACATCTAGGAACAAGGACGCTACTAGGAGCAAAAGGGCATTTCTACTAGGAACAAGAAGCTACTAGGGGCTCCTACTTGCAGCGATTGCTACTTGCGCCTGGGCCTCCAGGCCCAGATCAATGTGCGGCTGATTAATGCCTCCAAGACCTGCGCCGAAGTCTCTACGTTTTAACCAAGAGCGCCCGAGTGATGTTTTCCGAAACGCGGTAAACATCTTCCAACTTCACCACTTCTAGCTTTACATCTTCTAACTTCGCTATTTGACACTTCACATCCTCTGTCTCTCTGTCTCTCTCTCTCTATTTCTCTCTTTCTTTCTCTCTCTCTCTCTCTCTCTCTCCGTCTTTTCTCCGCTCACTTCCAATGCACTCGGCGCTAAGTGAGGTCGAACTGGCAATCTTCCAATGGTGTCAAGACTGTAGCTTCGTCTCATGGCAAGGTGTAAGCACATACATACATGTGCACGTGCTCATGGCACAATTTTCCAGGCT